ACCCCCAACCATAAAATTGGTGTCTCGGTTCCTAAGACCATCGAAAATATGTTTTCCGATGGTCTTAGGTGACCCCTGTGAAAGGGTCGTTCGATCCCCAAAGGGGTTGCGACCCACAGGTTGATAACCACTGCTCTAGACATTATTTTTTCTCAATAACCTTATGAACATTTGTCCTTGGTACATTAGTAATGGAGCAATAACTGGAAGGTTGCAGGTTTTTCACTCTGTATTAGTAATTATTTTTTTTACATGTGTACGGTAGCTCTGAATGGGAAAAATAAATCCATAATCTAACATTGATAGAACATACAGTGTAAATCCTTTATGTTCCTTTTAATTTTCTTATCTCCTGATTTTTCCACTGTGTTCATTGTGCCTACAATATTAAATTGGACAACATTTCTTCACTTACTGCATATGCAGTGACATTTATAATTTAAGAGACTACAACTTAGCATTTAAAATCTCAACTCTTTTTATTACATGCATTTCTCATATACTGTTGCTTAGGGAAAACTTTTATAAGTGGTAAGCACTTTAGCTGATTTTATAGTTTTTTTTAAAAAAAATCTAATCTTTCATGTTACATAATGGGTATACAAATATGATTACATACTTAAGTACTGGGATGAATGTAAGGTGGACTGTTGACTAGAAATGATCATCTTACTTTTGTAGAAGTGTTTGTCGAATTTTATCTTTATTTGTAAACTTTATTTTTTCCCCCCACATGTTGTTAAAAGTATTGTTTTGATGAAAATGTGTGGTGTATTCATTATATAAAATGATGCTTTGCTTTTCAACTACGTATATTATAATATGGTGTTTTATTCTGTTAAACATAAAATCTTCCTTGATTTTAATTTGTGGAATGTTTGTAAGAAGACTGAAATCCACTTGAAGAAATACTTCCATACAAAGTGCATACGTAGTACATGAAGCTTTGTTTACATCTCAATGCATTTCTCTTGAACGATTTGTGCATGTCTGCTCTATAATTCTACATTGAATTTGAATTTTGGAACTAGGTACACTTCTGAAATTATTAATCTCTTTGTTAATATGGTAGTATGTTTTTGTATGTGTGATTTTCAGTGACAAGAATATTTTTGAACTATCATGTTTAATCTTAAAACTATTGTTATGCTAATTTGCATTCTAATATGGATCTTTTTAATTTTTTTACTTTAGATTAAAAGTGCTTAATGGACAGAGAATGTCAGCAGTATGGATGAGGCAGAAATCAACACTGAGATCATTGGTGCTAAAGGACTGCTAGATGACAGTAATTTCATCTCTGAGAAGTGTGGCATTCCCAAATTAGAAGAGAGTGAAACATCATTTCAGAATAATACATTGACTTTGCCTGAAGATCTATCAACAGACAAGTCTGAAAACGCCTTAAGTGGGGGCCAAACATCTATATTTATACATACTGGGGCTCCTGCTGTTTCTAGTGAAAATTTTGTTCTGCCTACAGAAACTTCTGTTAATGGACCACACTCCAGTTTAACTAAGATTTCCATTATGAAACAAGGCAGCATTTCATTAACTAATGCACAAGCTTTGGGCCATCAAACAGATTCTTCATCATCTGTCACAGTGGTACCTGATCTTCAACTTCCTACAAAACCATCGACCCAAAATTCAAGTCCGGTTTTGTTCTTGTTACCTGAAGCAGCACATGCTAAGAACCTATCACATTCCATGAAAAATCTACCTCCCTCTGCTTCAGTTGCTTGTGACGTAGAGCCATCAATAGGAAAAAGCATAAAATCAGATAGCACTTTAGTAAGCCAAGTAGATGTGAGTGAGGATAGCAAAAATTTACTAGGAAAAGATGATGGTAGCAAATCACTAACAGGGATTTCCTCAGCTGCAGGTGACTTCAGATCAGAAAGTGATGTAAGCTGGGATCCACAGAAAGAATACATAGAATTCCTTATGACAAATGAAGAAACTGTAGAAGAGCCACCAATTCAACCTAAAGTTGGCATACAGAAAAGGAGAAAAAGAAAGATGGACGTTAGCAAAATAACTCGCTATACTGAGGACTGTTTTAACGAATCCAATTATATTCCTGACAATTCTGAATCAGTAGATATTGAGTTTTTGGAGCAGAGTGAGAATGTACAAATAATAGAATCACAAAAATATTCATTAGCCAGAGTAAAGCCTGAATCTACAGATGAGGAATTGGAAGTTGTGGATGCCATCCAGCAACTGATTTATAATCCAAGTAATAAGTGTGCAGATGATATTTCCCCTGTTCACAGTAGCACTTTCCTTTCTAATACTTTATTGAACAAATGTGAACAAGATGACTTGGAATCACCATCTAACTTCATTTCTGATGAGCCATCTTTTTATCCCTGTACAAAGTGCAATGTGAATTTTAGGGAAAAGAAGCATCTGCACAGGCACATGATGTATCACTTGGATGGCAACAGACACTTTCGTCATTTAAATGTTTCGAGGCCTTATGCATGTAGGGAATGTGGCCGGACTTTTAGAGATCGCAATTCCCTTCTTAAACATATGATAATTCATCAGGAAAGAAGGCAGAAATTGATGGAGGAAATTCGTGAATTAAAAGAACTTCAGGATGAGGGTAGGAGTGCACGGTTACAGTGTCCACAATGTGTGTTTGGTACCAATTGTCCCAAAACCTTTGTGCAGCATGCTAAAACCCATGAAAAAGATAAAAGATACTACTGTTGTGAAGAATGTAACTTTATGGCTGTGACAGAGAATGAACTTGAATGCCATCGAGGGCTTGCTCATGGGGCAGTAGTGAAATGTGCAATGATCACTACAGACATTACCCAGAGAAAAACACACAAAAAGGCATTAGTGAAAGATTCCTATATGGAGTCCTCAAAAAAGACAGTTGACTATATGTGTAAAATGTGTCCTTTTACTACGTCAGCCCGAAGCATTTTAAAAAAACATGTGGAATATTTGCACCCATCAGCTTGCATGGATCCCTTTGGTAGTCGCCTTAGACTAGATAAAAGAAAAAGGCTCGGTATAGAAGAAGCTCTACATTTTGGTAGCAGGACTAAACATTTAATCAAGCAAGCATCTGCCTTTCCAAAGACTTCGGTTTTAAAACAAGATCTGAAACGACCATTTGGCTCTGCATTCCAGATGAGTCACTTTGCAAAACTCCACAAGAGACCCTCCAGGATACAGAAGGCTCGGAAAAGCGTTGCACAGTCAGCTGTAAGTGTATATAGTCAAAGCTCTGCAGACAGGTTTATTTTGAATAGAAATAGCACTGACCCAAATCCTAAAGATTTACATCATACAGGAAATCTAAAAATGATGCATGTATGTGTCTGTGTTTATATACATACGCACACATAGGCCTATCTAGGATTGTGAAATATAGTGGTCCCTTTTTTTTTTAACACTTAAAAGGGGATACTGCAAGATCTGTCAGGTTATTACCTTTATTGTCTTCAAATAATTCTCTTAAGGTTTATTGTGGATTCTCTTAACTGTGATGAAAAAAGACCAAGAGTCTATAAAAATAAGCATGTAACTGTAAAAAAAAANCACTTAAAAGGGGATACTGCAAGATCTGTCAGGTTATTACCTTTATTGTCTTCAAATAATTCTCTTAAGGTTTATTGTGGATTCTCTTAACTGTGATGAAAAAAGACCAAGAGTCTATAAAAATAAGCATGTAACTGTAAAAAAAAAATATTTTTTTTAAATTAAAAGACCCAAAAGGGGAGGATCTGTAGCAGGAGATGATTTGGACAGTTTTCCAGACATTCTACATAAAATGACTGTTGTTGTTTTGCAGAAACTTGCTGGGAAAAAAGACAGCTATGAAACGGACGATGAAAGTTCATGGGATAATGTTGAACTGTGTGATTACACTACACGGTCTGTGGAGGATGGCTCTTACAGTGATATTAATCAGGACCATGTAAACCTGTTCCCTTTATTTAAAGGTAAAATGGAAGAAGAAGGTGGTGGTAAATCGTCTCTTAGATATGAACAAAATGATGGATTTTATTTTGAATATTATGAAGATGGCGAAAGTAACAATTATCTGCATGATTTCCAAGATCATCATCATTTGGAAAACATAGGTACAACATTGCCAAAGCATAATTCCGTTTTTCACTGGACTGATTTATCACTTGAGAAAAAAAACTGTCCATACTGTCCAGCAACTTTTGAAACTGGTGTTGGATTATCTAATCATGTCCGTGGACATCTTCACAGAGCTGGGTTAAGTTATGAGGCACGCCATGTTGTCTCACCTGAGCAAATAGCTACAAGTGACAAAATGCAGCATTTCAAAAGAACTGTGACGGGAACTCCAGTGAAGCGAGTTAGAAAAGGTAAGCTTTTTCTTCGGGTTTTCAGCATACAAGAAATATAGACTAACATAATATTACCTCATGTTATAGTATCCTGACTAGTTTTTTATTTGTTCTCTTATTTGAATGTTTTAATGTGTATGTTTTAAATAAACTGCATCCTAATGTCTTGCAAATGGATAAATCACTCATTTTTCTTTGTAGCAATTGAGAAATCTGAAAGTTCTACAGAACACACATGCCAGCTCTGCGGAGGTTGGTTTGACACTAAAATTGGATTATCTAATCATGTGCGAGGACACCTAAAAAGGCTTGGTAAAACCAAATGGGATGCGCATAAATCTCCAATCTGTGTTCTAAATGAAATGATGCAAAATGAAGAAAAATATGAAAAAATCCTTAAGGCATTGAACAGTCGTCGTGTTATTCCCAGACCATTTGTTGCTCAGAAAATTTCATCAGATGATGACTTTTTGTCTCAAAATGTTTTACCTCTTGAAGCATACCGCAATGGCCTAAAGACTGAAGATATATCGGTGTCTGCATCAGAGGAAGAAAGGCTGAATTGCCTCAATGAATGTGATGAAGCAAAATCATTATTGCATGATGAAAAAAAAAACCAGTCACTTACACTGATAGAACTCTTGAAAAATAAACGGATGGGAGAAGAAAGAAATTTTGATATCTCTCCTCAAAAGATTCATAATCAAACCGCAAGAAAGAGGTTTGTTCAAAAATGTGTTCTTCCATTAGATGAAGATGGTCCTTTGATGTATCACCCACAAAAAATGGATTTGACTATGCAGTCAGGTAAGAGATTGTTTTTGTAACTGCTGTTCTATTCGATTATAATTGGAATCATGTTGATACGTATGTTTGTGTGTTTGTATTTCTTTATTCCAAAATCAATTCTTATTAAACTTTTTGTTTGACAAGTTCTTCTCAGGAAAAAAAATACTTTCTTATCCAAAATTACCTATATTTTGAACGTGCAGGCCAAGTTCTGAATAGAAAACAATTTTGCTTTGTAATTGCTGAGGGGTAATTGAAATAGATACATGTGAACATCTTCTTAATTCTTTGTTTTATGTTTAATGTTATGTTTGATATAAAAAGAATGCATGATAATTAATAACATACTTGATAAAATGTATTGGTAGTCAAATAACCGAAAAAAGCTGAGACATTGTTGTTTCTTTATCTGTAGTAAAAAATGTCAGCATTTCCCATGTTGATATATGCCTGATTGGTTAAATGGATGATGTGTGGTTATATGTGAGCTATTGTTAGATTATATTTGGCATCTTTGGTAGCCATAGCTCTGTTTACCATCAGGGTTCTGATACAGAATCTCTTTTGAATGAAGGTTCTCTAGAAATTCAGTCAGTAATTTCACTCTTTATTTCAGGGTCCTTAGTATAGTTTTAGAATGCTCTTCTTAAATATGTCTTTCAATCATAATTCTCAGAGATTATGCTGGAGTTCTTTCCCAAGATCTCTGCATAATGTGTATTCCAGCTACTATAATATCTTGCTCTAGTTTGAGTAATTATTTTGTAATTGCGGCGAAAATGCAGGGTGTTGTTTTATGGGTCTTTCAATAACAGTATGATGCAACAATCAGACTGTCACTGGAAGACATTACACGATCAGTAGATTCATGTGATTTGCTTGTTGTCCCACTACAGATTGCAGGTAGTGAAAACAAATGTGTATTAGGCCTGTGCAGATCTTTCAGTGAACAAACTGCCTCTCTGGATTTGTGGCATGAAATTACAAAAAGCTACATCGCTCAAAGGCTGAAGTCAGCAGCTTGACACTCTTGGGGTTTTACGAGCTTGTGGGTACTGTCATATTCTGGTCCAATAGAGTATGTTGGAAGAGTGACGTGAAGAGTCCTGTTGAAGGATCTGCTTATGTCTAATGTTTATATGAATTAAATGCCTCCTCATATAAAACTTGTTGCAATTAAAATGATGTGTCTTAAATGGAAGCATTAAAGTGTTTGATTCTCTACTTGCAGTCTGAAATTATATAGTAAGTCACCAGGTACAGTACATGAGACTGCTGATTATGTTTTTACTTTCACCTAAGTAAGATAACCTAGCTTTACAGGAAAACCTCTATTAACTAACTACAATGGACTGAAAAGATGAGTTAATATGAAATGCATGAATAATGGCAATGAATTGCTTTAAAATAGGAGGTAGGAGTTCAATAAAGCCTGTCAATTAGACAATAGTAAGCTAAAAATGAAGTATTTGATATTTGTGTTATGCTGCCTAATACTGATAAGCGCTATTCTCTAGACTTCAATCAAAAATAATAAAAGAAATTGCATAATAACAACTTTTAATTCTAATTAATATAGGATTTGATTGTTACTTTATACTGTTACTTAGTTATTAAAACTTTTGTAACCCTGCTTTTGAGCAGTAATGTTTAAAATACATGAGAATTAGTTTTTGTGTTGTGTACATCTAAAAATAAAATCTTAATAGCACCAAATTTTTTTCTAACATACTGAAATGTGAATAATGTGAAAAAAATTATTGACAGTGTTGTCCAAGACTATTTTTTTATATGTGCATGGAAATACAGTTAAACCATTGGTAGTATTTTTTCTGATGTAGTTTGGTATTGCTTCACTGTGTGTTCTTTTCTGTGATAACTGATGTTTGTTGATCATTTATTTAGCACAGATTTTAGCAAAAACTACAAATCATTAACTTTCATTATTGATTGCGCATTCAGAGTAATGAAGATAAAATGCACGGAACAAAATGTTTTGTCTAACAGCTGTGCAATGGTGTGTTTTACCACCTTTTTCTCCAAGCCCTCATCAGCAACCTAATTTAGTATTGAGCCTTTTACAGTCTTGTGGGTAAAACACTTTAATTACCACTTTGTCAGCTAGACTTTCTAATTCTCTTTATTGGGAACATTGCAAGCTTTCAAACTTCTTAACAGAACTGTGCCTATTCAAATTGCAGAATTGTATTTTGGAGTTAGGAAAGGAATCTGTGTAATGCAAAAATCAGCAGCAAAGTGATAATAGTTGTTAAATTCAGCAAAGCTTAGGGATTCAAATCATGCATTTCATTTTTCTTACCCCAAAGGATATTTTGTGCCAGATAAGAAAATAATCATGAGCTAGATCCTTCCTTGTGAAACAATTGCACTGATGCACTGAACATACTTAAAACAACTTTTAATTCAGGGTTTTTCAAAACGAGTTGAGAGTTTCATTTTTAAAGAGAGAACTGGATTATAGTTTTCTTTTGACTGATAGGTATGCCTATGAAGCTTAGAACGTGTGTGCATTGCAATGCGGCGTTTACAAGTGCTGTTAGCCTGTCCAACCACTTACGCGCTTATGCACGAAAGAAGAGTGCTGGACTTTTGACTGGGACAGGTATGTTTGTTACAGATGTAAATTCAAGTCTGTCTATCTACATTTTCCTCATCAGACTTGAAAGAATTCATATAATTCAGTTGACATTTAAAATTCTCTGAAGAAATTGAATTTAAAATTATAGCAACGTATAAAAGTATGTTGCTATCCCATTTTTTTCATGAATTATTTTATTTTTATTTTTTTATCAAACATTTTCATGTATATGAACAGTTCAAGAGTGAATGCTCTGTTTTCTGGCTAAATGCAAAAGGAGCTGAATTTTTAATTGAAGGAATTTGCCAAGTTTTGATCAAGAATCTTTACCAATTATCACATCTCATTCTTTAAATAAATTAATATCAGAGTAAACACAGGCATTTATGTGGTTTCCACAATTGTCAATACAACATGTTCAATCAAAACTCCATTGCTTTCTCATATTTATTATATATGTATTTATTTAAATGTTGGACAGGCAGGTAAGAGTAACAACACAGTTATATCTGGTGTGTGGATTTGTTTACTTTATACTATGCATTGGATTTTAAATGATGTGGGATTTCCTGTGAACCCAACTATTAGACTGTGTTACAATGAAAGTTAAAAAAAATGACAAAGTACAGATAGTCCTCAACTTACAACCACAAGTGGGACCAGAATTTTGATTGCTAAGCAATACAGACATAATACTGGATGTCATGTGACTCCATCTCTTAGTGACCAAAATCCCAGTAATTTTACCAGTCATTAGTCGAGGACTCATCCCAATTCAAGACATTATGCATTATAAGCTCTCTAAAAT